TAAATAAGGTGTGTTTTAAGACTCTCTTTTTCAACGTTTTAAAAATTCAGCCTGCATTCTTTGGGTACCTACTATGTTAAGCATGTTATATACTCCAGGAGACACAATAATGGCTGAGACAGAATCATGGCCTTCAGAGCTTATATAATCTCTCTTTTCAAAGATTTATCGAGATGGAGAACTGTTTTTGAGAAATGGCTGGTACTATCTACATATTACTCTTGAGATATGGGAGAACTAATTCTTATATCTGGGATAATGGGTCAATCATTTTTTTCTAAATGTTTATATTAAAGTACTCAAAGAAAACTTATAAAATACAAAAAATAGGAAGGAAAAACATGTACGCTCTAAATTTTTGACACAGTATTATTTATATTATACCTATAGATTTTCTTGTCTTTTCTTGAATTTGATGGGATATCTAATGTTTGTATCACTGCAGAGCTTTGTAACCTGTTTTACTGATTACATAATTCCAGAAGGAATCAGTTTCTGAGCATGTCAATAATATGGCTGTTTTTATATGGCATTTACTGATGTTATTTTACACAAAATGATTAAGAAAAGACTCTAACCTTGGCTAATTCTAAGAAATACTTTTTTAAAGTATTTTTTAAGTGCACTAAGTGGCAAACTACTTTCAAATCTTTCTTTAAGAGCATCAGAATCATTTAACTTGGCTAAAATATCCATAGAAATATCAACTATGTACAGTTGCCATAAATTAGAAACAAATTGTGAAATGTATAAACAAAAAATATTTTAAAATGCAGTTTCTAATACTAAACATGTTGATTTTTTACTGTTTGGAATAATTTAATAGCTTTGATTTTAAAAAGCAAAAACAAGGACTGTTTGAATTTGGAATTCTTCCATGTGATGATTACAATGAAATTAATCTTAAACTTCTAATGTCCCTTTAGAAATAGGACCTGGGTGAGAGTGCTCTTTGTGCGAAATCTAATGGAGCAGGAATCCCTGAGTGGGGAGAGCTGAGCCAGCAGGTGGTTTGAGGGATGTTGCCTGGGAATTGCTAACAGTAACGCTGAAGGAAGAGAGGGAGAAGGGATGGGAGGAGAGGGATGGAAAGTCCCTCATTAGCCTGAAGGCTGGGATGCCCTGACCCTCTGGAATCCCCCTCCCTGGTGAGAATGCCAGCCAAAATAGGAGAGGATGATGAAGAAGTCAGTTGATAATAACCACAAAACTCTGATAAGCTTGGATAGCTCCTAAATCAGTAGCCCTGGCCTCCATTGTAAATCAGTATTATTTTAAATGAGATTTTGGCAAATGAGTAAAATATATGAAGAATGAGTAAGTGATTGAATGAATTGTATCAGCAATGGACATGGATATTTGTTTCTACTCAAAAGTTTTTTTCTTATTGTTATGTCCAATTTATAGTGAAAACACTTTTTTATTGAATTATCATTAACTATATCATATTTATTTAAACCTACACCCTCTCCAACTCCACAGATGACTCAGAGGAGGTTAGAATAACAAAAAAAATCATAATATTGCAGTGAGGAATAGATGTGATTCCAACTCTTAAAGCCTGGTGTTTCCATGGTGTGATGATGATACCATGGCAAGGTTAAAATAGATGTGATTCCAACTCTTAAAGCCTGGTGTTTCCTGGTGTGATGATGATACCATGGCAAAGTTAAAATGAGATTATGTGTAGACATTGTTTGACATACAACAAAAATGTATTAGAGTTAAGGCTGTAAACTTGAGTATACACAATTTAGCTTATTCTCAACTTATTTTGCACTACAATTTTACTAAAGAGTGTTAATTGAACAAAATATATTAATTTCTGGAGTAGGAGAGATTTTATTCTTTATAACTCTGTAAACTCTATACTATCCAAGATATAATGCCTTGCTTCCTAGAATTTGAGTTTCTTAATCTTCCAGGTGTGCACAATCCATGGGAAAATGTTCCCAGTAAATTTACAGCCTATGGCCAGTTTCAAGAGGCAAGGACCAGGTAGGTCTGCATTTTTATTATTTTTTTTTAAAGCAAGGGAAAGTTCATCACTGTCATTAGTAAAAAATATAATGCAAATTGGAAGTGGAGTAGGCTAAAAACATTGTGACCTACTAAGTGTAGAGTATAAGTAGAAGAAGATGAAGATTACTTTTAAAAGGCAGAATTTTGTTTGTTCATTTATTTTCCTTTCATTTCAGACCAGTTCTATGCATGTTTTCTACAGAAGGAAGCAGAGACTACTTGTGTTTCTTGCCTTAAGGTGGGTTTTCTGAAGGCAGGGATAGGGGCCAAATGCCAATACTATTGATACAGTTTGCCTGGAACCTTGGCCTCCAGAGAGATGGATGGAAAGATGCAGAACAGAGCCTGGGCACTGGGTTCTGTGCTGACATGAAACACTTCCATTCCTAGGATGTCAATGCAGCATTCAGAGACCAGAGGGGATGGAGGTTAGATGAACGTGCAGGAAAAGAGAGGTGGAACCATAGGACGAAGCATCATTCTCTAGTAGGTAAGATCACTTACATGCACCTTTGCATTTTCATGGCCAAAGGACAGACCTAGTATAAATAAATAAATCAACAAAAACAGTAATGATAACTTCCTCCAGCTGCTGATTAGTGCCTAAAATCTCACCATTCAAGTATGAAATACTCTGATATCCTAAAATCTGGAGAATTTAGGTATATGAAAGGAGGGAGGTGGGGGAGCATGAGCACTGTAATAATTTAAGCTGTTCTTAATTATGCAGAGTTTAGGAAAATAAACTGATTATAGAATCAACTAGAGGCCTGACGCACGAAATTTGCGCGTGGATATGCTCCCTAGGCCTGGCCTGTGATCAGGGCCATCTTCTCTGGCAGCCATCCACCCCTTTGGCAATTGGAGCCTGCTGGCCAGGGAAAGGGACCGAGAGGTGGTCAGTGCACCTCATAGTGACTGATTGAGCGGTCGTTCTGGTCATTCTGCTGTTAGGGTCAATTTGCATATTACCCTTTTATTATATAGGAGGATAAGAGGGTTCAAGACTGAATAGTTTAGGATAGCTAAGGAAATTTTTAAAACTTTATCTGGGGCCAGTCCTAAACTGTGCACTGCCAGAAGGAATTCATCCTTCAAACCGTTAAAACAAAATGGTCTGGGGAAGATTACAAAATCTGATTAGGGTATAGACATCCAGAGCTGCACTTTGGGTAGAGAGACTTTTATGCATTTTCAGGGTTAATTAAGACAAACCTGGGTCTGATGTATTAAGACACAGTTGATTCTTATACTGCCATATTTGTTTTTAGTTCATGATTTTTAAAATAGATTTACTGGTCACATTTCTCAGGTAGTGGCAAGATCTTAAGCAAATTTATTTAGTTCTGTCTTTCTAGATGAGTGGTTTTCTGCCTGGAAGGTATAGCAGAATCATTTTATAACTTTTGTGAAATGCACATACTCAGCTCCCTTCCTATATGAATAAGAATTGCAGAGTCCATAGGGCAAGGGGCAGTCCAGGTATGTGGGGCTAGAAAAAACTGTCCTGGGAATTGTTGCCACACTCTCATTTGGGGGATTGCTATTCCAAATAGAACTGGTACTGGTCAATTACTCAAAAACAACCAAATAGCTTACACTAAATAACACTGAGTCTCCAACTGGCAGAATTATTCCATGCCTAGTTGGGATGGATCTGATTTACCTTTCACATGGATTTCATCTAGCTGACTTGCTAAAAAGGAAGCCCATGTATATCCAGGGGTGGGCAAACTTTTTGACTCGAGGGCCACAATAGGTTCTTAAACTGGACCGGAGGGCCGGAACAAAAGCATGGATGGAGTGTTTGTGTGAACTAATATAAATTCAAAGTAAACATCATTACATACAAGGGTACGGTCTTTTTTTTTTTTTTTAGTTTTATTCATTTCAAACGGGCAAGATCCGGCCCGCGGGCCGTAGTTTGCCCACGGCTGATATAGACATTTGTTAAATGCCCTTCTATTTACGAACTTTGTAACTAAGATCTTACGGTCTTTCATGCTTTGTTTGGAGAAGTTTTTACGTTTATTTATAGAACTCTGAGCAGAAGGCTGGATTTCAACGTTGTGCTAAGGTTTAATATCTTTTACCTGTTCACAGAATTGTTCCTTGAGATTGTTTGCTTAGGATGTACTACTAGTCACTTAGGGTTTTTCATTTTTAATTTAAAGTTATTATTTAAACGTGCTAAGATTCCAAAGCAAGTAGGAGATCTGTCACTTTGAGGAAAATTTATGGGAGTGAAAATATTTTCTTTTTGTAAACAGTTACTGCTATACAATATCTTCACAGGGTGGAAGGATTGTTATTTATCTGTTTTAATTAAAGAGTACCCTGCCTGTCTATTTGCGTCTAACTTAAAAGAAGTGGGTGTCTTGGTGAGAAGTTCACAAGGTTGGTTACTGTAGCTGAGTTTGGTGAACTGACTCAAGCTCTAGTCAGCAGTGGTATAGGAATGCCAAGTACTAAGAATTTGTGGAATGTAGAATCTCACAGCACTGATAAAGTTTGCTTTGTTCCCCTATGTGACTTGACCCATTGAGAAAGCGTGGTTCCCTAGGAAGTTTTAGTAGTTCAAAGCCCTTAGTTAATAAAGAAAAAGGCCACAACATAACTCAGCTTGTTTTCACCTGCTGCCTCAAAGATTAACTTTCTTAACCTTAATGGGATAGAGTTACCCTTTGCTTTGAAAAAGTAATTTATAGAGCTCTTCACATTTGTTAGTTTCAGTAAACATGACACTGTTTGTGTGGATTTGTTTATGTTTTGGGTTTGGTGTCACAAACTACTAAGACTTCTGCAATTTAAGAACCTTATGGTAACTTCATCTGAAAACAAATCTCAGGGAAAGGCACACCCTCTTTTCTGTATCAGCTTAATCTTTCACTGGACTAGGAAGGGTTTTGAATTACTTCAGGAAAGTAGTGACTGATAGAGTTTAACCTTCAGTTTTCCTCATTTATTTTCATAAAAGAATGGGAGTGGAATTCAAAACATTCAAATTTAGAGTTAATGTGCGTCACTCTGTTGCGAGTGATAGGTTCGGTGTTTTTCCAGTGGGAAACTGTGATCCACAAACTGATATATGCCTGTTGTAGACCTTGTTATTCCATTCTGCTTTTCTCCTGATTGTTGCTTACTCTTTCAAAAACCAGCTGACTTTACAAATTGTTTCTGGGAGCAGATTTCAGAGCAAAAGTGATACATAAAAGCAGCACGTAAGTCTTGTTTTTGTCAGAATTTATAATGTTTGAAATAAACCTTTTATTTCATTGAGAGTCTAATTTCACTTAAATGTAGTATTTAATGTTAAATGTGCACTTTATGTTGTTAACATGATTTAATTTCCATGTTTGGTCACTTTCACTCAAAGAAGGATTTTAATTACATAACACATGCTGGAGTCATTTTAAGTAACTCTGCCTTTGCTTGTTTGTTCCTTGTAGCTAACAGTAATGAATAAGATCTGTTTGCATATGTCATCTTAGTACATCAAGGAATTTTATAGGAATTTGGTAAATGAATAATAGACATTCATGAAGCTTATTGTTTTGAATGCGAGACTTTTTTTACAATATTTCTATTTGAATGAGACTTCAGTGATGTACAGACTTGCTGCCTATACATCTTAGAAACACCTGCTGGGGAATCTTCTTCAAGTTAACAGAGAGAAAGCAGATCCCTGTTGACAGTGAGCGACTGTAAACATCCTCGACTGGAAGCTGTGAGGCCACAGACGGGCTTTCAGTCGGATGTTTGCAGCTGCCTACTGCCCCAGACTTCAAGGAGCTGCTTTAGGGGCTATTATCTTGTTAACTAGAACTGAATACCTTGCTTTCTCTTTGATACATTTTTACAAAGCTTGGGTGAAAATGGTATAAATTAAATAACTTTGAAACCATTTCTGTACATTTTTAGAGGACTTCAGCAGGGCAGGAGAAGTGCTCTGTGTCTGTATAGAATTTGCAAGTGGGAGACATCTGTAATACTCTCAACAATAAAAATTAATTTTTAAAAAACAGCAAAGTATTCCTGAAGGAGTAAGGAAATATATTATAGTATCTTTGTTCTTATAAAAAGTATACTAAGGCAGTATTTCACAAATCACTCTAAAAAGTGATTTGTGTTCTGCTGTTTATATTTATCTGTAATTTCAAAATAAGTATTTTTAAAAAGCCATTCACTAACATTTCTATTAATGAAATTAAATTATTTGGAAAGAAAAAAAAGTAAAGGCCAGAGTGAAGAATTAATTCACTTTGTTTGGATGGATTAAATCTCTTTTATTTCTTCATAGTTTCAGTTTTTAAGTAATAAAGAAGTTTTCAGTTTAATAAGAAACTTAAACTAATATTGACTCAACTAACTCTTATTTGAAAAATCTGTTTATTCTTGTTTTAGCTGATGAGAATAGTATTTTAGGCATTTGTTGATACTGTCCCCATTCAATCGAACTGTTAACTTTGCTTTATGTAATAGGATGTATCTCTTTAAAATGCTATACTAAATATATGAAAACAAGCTAAGTTTTTTAAAAGAACCCTGTTTTGGATCTCTGTGAAAGACCTAATTTCTAACTTTTTTTTTTGGTAAATCTGTATTTGTCTTACGGAACATTTGTTAAAATGAAACACTTAAATAGTAGAAATGAGACACTTTAAAAGGAGATGAGGGCAGCATCCTTTATCTTAACACGTAGTATCTTCTAAACACGTGGTATTGTCATTAATGTAGAAATTATAGTTTCTGTTCCCCCATTAATACCTATTGATGATGTTGATAAGAGGTGATACTGAAACATTGTGACTGAGCCACCATTTAAAATTTTACCAAACTACAGTTGAACACTCAGCTGGTATGGATATCTCTATCTATCTATCTATCTATCTATCTGCCTTTAAATTTCCCTCATACACAGAGCCATCAAGTGAAAAATACTCAATTAGTCATACTGGGCCATGAGAGGTTAGTAGATTGCCACTGAAATGGGTGGGAGGGGTGAGGGCTTTCCATGTGCTAGGCCTGGGGTCTGGAATTGAGAATGTGGCCTGTTTTTTAATAGGTAAACTTAAAACACTTAGAGTAAATAACTCAGTTGTGTCCCAGGGTAAATGACTATAAGTTTGGAGAAATGGGTAAACTTTTCCTATTTCTTTGACCTTCACTTGCATTAGGTTCTTCTCCTGTGTTATTTCACATGCCCTTTCTTTCTTCACTGATCTCTAAATTTTCCATTTCCCATTTCTATTTGGTTATTTCCTTCATTTAAGTAATTGCTTATTAGAATATTTTAATTTATAAAAACTACAACATTCTTAAATATTTTTAAACCAATAAATACAAATCTCAAGAAAACATTCTGGATAATTTTTAAATTCTATTATTTGTTACACCCTGTGCCCCATATTACCATAGTAACAATCTAAAGTTGTATTTTAAGATAATAGCAAAAGTATGCAATATGTATTTGGAATAAGATCTGAATACAATTTTTTTATTTTGCAAAAATATCCAACTTTTAAACTTTACATTGTTTTACATTTCTACAACTATATTAGACAAAGTTATTGTGTACTTAAGTAAGATACATTAATATTTAGCATAAATTACTCTTTATTGCTAATTACTTTCATGTGGTTTTTCTTCTTTACATAATTTCAAAATTCCATGTTTGTATCACCATAATAAAATATAATATATAATCTAGAATCTAAAATTCTTGAAATGGACCCCAGTAGGTCAGTTACTGAGAATAAAACAGTAAAAAATGTGGGCTAGATAAATGTAACCTAAGTGTAGCTGTAAAGTTTGTAACATTAAAAAAATAGCACTACACTGAGTAATCATCATAGCTACTGTATGTTTGGTTTTTATTTATAATTTGCCAAAATAAAAATTGGCACATTCTTGGAAGGGAGATTTTTAAAGGAAGTGCAAGAGGTTCTAAAAGTGGCATTCGTGACTCATTTAAATGATACTTATTTCCTGACCTTAAAACTCTGATTTGAACCTGCACTGCATTCGGTCATGATGCTATCTATAAAACCTGTCCTCTACTAAAGAATACCTAAAACCAGGGGCAAGGACTGTGGAGGCAAAGGTTTCGCATGAAGGCCTGTATGGGAATGAGGAGGATATACCTTGGAAACCTGGCTCTGCCCAAACAGATTGCTCTCAGAATTGCCTTGTTTTCTTTCACTAAAATTGTAGCTAGATATTACTATTTCAGGGGGAAAAAATCTCTCTTGAAGTGGTGTCAGTTTGTGGTGGCTTAAAAATAATGCAAAGATGCCAGTTGTTCTTCTGTATTAGAAGAATAACCAGGATTAATTATTTCTCTTAATTTTTGAATTGACTTACTGAAATCTTACTGAACTTCTTTATTAACCAGCTTATCGGTCTCACTAAAATAATGGAAAAGACATGCTTTGTATTGCACTGTATCAGAGTAAGTATCCTAAGTAGATACGGAAGATGTGTTTAATAGTGTGTACTATAGCTGTTGTGTGCATGAGCTAAGCTGTTAAATCATTTAAGAGATTGGGTTTCTTATGATTATTTTTCCCTTTCATTTTTTTTTACTCTTCTTAATGGCAAAAAGCCAGTAAAGAAAATTAGGGGAGGGAACCTTATCCTGTGAATGTGCTTATTATTAGAAACAATAGTCAATCAAATAAATATTCTTCAATAGGCTTTTTTAGTTGTTATGCACGAATAAGTATATCTCGCTAATTAATACACACTTTAAATCTTCAGTGTGAATGTGGTGGGCACGTTAATGTTGCCAAGTGATACTTAATCTGCCTTTCCTAATTTGTATATCTAATTATTATATAAACTTAATGATCCAGTACTTTGAGAGTAGAGGCTTTTAATGCAAATTAACACAAAGTAGATTGGGGATTCATTCAGCACAAAACACTCAGTGTGAACTTACTGTTCCCAAAGGCTTCACTGCCCCACATGGTTAAACAAATTAATGAATGAGCTCCTTCAGGTATCGTAACAACACTGAGTAAAATCAGAATATCTCCACAGCTCTAAATTCAAAAATGACACCATGATATCCCAGGATGTGAGATACCTTACTGGCATGTGTGTTGGAAAACATAAAATGTTATATACAGTAGGTTGATGTATTATAAGCCTGTTATTCTCAATGTGCTTCCTTGAAGGGACTGAACTACCATTTCTGAATTTTGGATTTGGTCTTTTTAGCTAAGGAGTTAAACTCTTGAACAAATACTTATACCAATGAAGGAAAATATATGTAAAAGCTAAAGAAATGCATGCAGTTAAAGATATAAATAAATGTTCCAATGCCATAAAAGAGTGGCACAGTCAAGATTCCCACAGTGGAAATACATTTATTACAGGATTTGTGATGTTAATGAATGGAAGCATTGTTGTCCTATGTAAATGAAGATTTATTTGCACTGAGTGTAAGTATGCTGAAATGAGACAGAAAATTGGTGAAAGTTGCAAATTCAGGTATTCAACTTGTTGTATTCATATTTTGCACATAATTGATCTTTCTAAGTACATATTAAGAAAGTGATTTTGTTAAATTCATTAATCTTTAGTTATCATGTTACATTAAAATTATCTTTGGAATTATAATCTTTCAACTATGGACTGTCTGTCTGGAAAATTTAATTTTGAAACATTTATTCTTTTTCATATACTATCAGTGGCTTTCTTGGCCATTTCAGAAATATAGTTGTCTTTTTCCAGTTCTCATTATACTCCCTTACTCCAGTAAATCTGTATTTTACTTAAAATAAGTTCTGACAGTCAGATATTGAATAAAAATCTAGGAAATTTGTACTCTGTTTATTCATAGAAAGAATAATGTTCAGTGGTATTTTGAACCAATCATCTAACCTCTTTGTATTTTAGCTTTAGTTTCTGGGCTGATTTTGTTAATTTCTTATAACTTGTTCCTAAATCTCTAATTAAAAATAAATAATTTTGAATTGTTAGAAATTCTAAATATTTAAGGCTATTTTAATAGCATAAATTCAATTTGTCAAAATGCAATTTACTAAAATATAAATTTTTCTTTCTAGAAAATAATATTCGGTTGTTGGTTCCTATTTAATTCTTAAAGCCAGCTTTAATTTAGTTTCCCACCCAAGATAACACCCAGGACCAGTGCTGGGAGAAGTCAGGATTATGTTTAGGAAATGGAAAATAAGTCCCAGGGCCTGGTAAGCAGTGCTGTGTTCTGACTCTGGACATAGTAGCTCTCTTTTTCTGAAGAGAACAGAAGAGTCCTGAGAGTGACTAACATCTAACTACCAATTATTTTTAGGTTAAGGAAGAATAGGAGAATACGAAGGAAGGCAGGATTTTTTCTTATTAAGAACTAGGGGCCTGGTGCATGAAGATTCATGCATGGGGGGTGGGTCCCTCAGCCCGACCTGCACCCTCTCCAATCTGGGAGCCCTCAGGGGAGCCCTCTCCAATCCAGGAGTTTCTGTCTGTCTTTGCAATCATATGAGCGAATTGTCTGAGACCCCAACCCAGTTTGGTTTGGTGCTCACAGAATAATAGAGGTCTTTTTATTTCTTTGCTCCATTGGTGGAGATTTCCTAGAAGTTGCAGGATATCTTCCCTTTAATTTTTCCTCGACACTCTGACTTATGTCTCTCACCTTTGCTTTCCCTCCATCCCCCACAGTAACTTGCACAGCAACAGTAACTTGCTCCAAGCTCACTTTGCTATAGTGACTAGGACAGTGATGGCGAACCTATAACACGCGTGTCAGAGGTGACACGCGATTTTTCGTTGATTTTTCTTTGTTAAATGGAATTTAAATATATAAAATAAATATAAAAAATATAAATCTTTGTTCTACTATGGTTGCAAATATCAAAATATTTCTATATGTGACACGACATCAGAGTTAAGTTAGGGTTTTTCAAAATGCTGACAAGCTGAACTCAAAAGGTTTGCCATCACTGGCCTAGGAGATCCGTCTGCCACCAGAACTACAATTCCCAGCATTCCTGGTGCTCCCCACACTCTTGGTTTTCCCTTCCTGCTCTGTCTCCGTACCACGGCCTCCCACTCTGCCAAGTCCTCCAAGCCACCAGCTCTCCCTCTCCGCTCTCCACCCAGCGGCTTGGGGGGAGTGACTGAGGGAGCCACGTCCCCCCAAGCTGCCGGCTCTCCCGCTCTGCTCTCCACCCGGAGCCTGTGTATGCAAATTAACCCACCATTGCATACTCACTCCTGATTGTCTGGTGGGCATCGCAGATGTACGGTCAATTTACATATTTCTCTTTTATTATATAGGATGACTAGAGGCCTGGTGCTTGAAATTTGTGCATGGGTCGGGTCCCTAGGCCTGGCAGGCGATCAGGTCCAATCTGTGGGGCGACTGGCAGGGTGATCAGGGCCCCGGCTTGCACCTGCCTTGGCTTGGCGCCACCCACTCGCCAGCCCCGCCTCTGCTGCCGGTCGCCTTCCTCTGCAGGGCGATGGTGGGGCGATTTGGGGGGGTCTTGCTTGCACCCACCTTGGCTGGCCTGGCACCACTCGCTCACTGGCCTCACCACCCGCTGCCGCCGCTGGTCGGGGCCAGTGGGCTAGGGCAGCTCCTGCATTGTGCGTCTGCCCCCTGGTGGTCAGTACACGTCATAGCGACCAGTCATTCCTCCCTTCTGTCGATTTGCATATTAGGGTTTTGTATAGATAGATTATATCTTAGATTAAGATATTACTTAATGGCTACGGTATATAAATGCTGCACTGCATTCTGTGGGAGCATCTTCTAAAGGGGCTATTCATTATTTGCTTCTGCCCCATCTTCTGCTCTGCCCCAGCTTTCTAAGCTCCAGCCACACCAACTTTCAATTCTCTGAACAACCTTGCTCTATTCCTTTGTATTCCAAAGTCTTTGTCTTAGCTCTTCCCTCTGTATAAATTGAATACTCTTATTTAACCCACGTCTACTTCTAAACATAAATTCTTGCACACTCATACTTTAGGTCTCATACTTAATGTCAGTTTTTCATGAGAAGTCTTCCTTTATTTCCTTCTCTTCATGATATGGGTTCCTTTGTCCTGAGAAGCAGCCCATCAAAATTATGGGGTAGGGGGAAAGCAGTCCAGGCAGAGGGAACAGCAAGTGTAAATAAGCAAAAGTTGGATCAGGCAAAAATTATGAAGTGTTCTGGTTCAGATGAGCAAGATAGGGTCAGGCAAGACAGGGCCCTGTAGACCATGATGACAAGTTTGAATTTTACTGGTAAGTGCCAGATTAGTACTTGTTATCATAAAATGTTCTTTGAATTTTGAGTTAAATTAAATGTAATTATAGGACCTCAAACATATTGACTGACCCTATCAGAATGTGGGTAATAATTTTTTAAAACGATGTGTAACAGGTCATTTCAATAAATATTGAATGCCACTAGTATAAAGAATAGTGAATGTTAGGGACTGAAGGATACAAAGTTGAAAAAGACTTGATTCCTGTGGTTGCTAATAAAGGTGGGATAAGATAATGGCACGTGGACCAGAGACCCAGAATTACCTGAATCCCACTGGAGACCAGCCATCCCTTCATGAAAAGGTCTCACAGGAAATAAATGCTAAGAAAAGAAAACATAATAACATTACTAAATGGAACATTCCCTCCAACCCCAATATAGAATGCCAATGAACCAGGCTGAACCATTTCATACTCCTTTAGCCTAGAGCCCCATATTTATGAGAGATCTTGAGCAGAATAGAGTATCTGAGGAGATGAGTATATCATATCGTTTACTCTTGGGAGGAAGAACATCCACAAGAAAGTTTACCCAAATGTGATAAAAACTGTGCCCATGTCTTTCAGCTGAGCCCATTAGCCAAGAAATGTCAGCAAACCTGCCCCACCAAAGAGCAACATTCCTCCTTTTCGTGTATGTATCTGGGGTAGGAGCAGGGGAGTCAGGGAGGAAAGAGGGTAAAAGACGCTTATATGCACCCGTATTCCCCCTAGGTTCCAGTACTGCACCCAAACAATTTTTATTGAGGTGAAGTTGAAATACATGTAAAATAAGCGATATTGGCACATGATGTCCTGAATAATGGAAGTAATAATAAAATACTGACTAGCATTTATTGAGTATGTGCCAGGCACTGTTGTGTTTTGTAATTACTCACTTTAATCCTCACAATAGCCCTGGGAGTTAGGTGCTATCATAATTTTACAGATTAAGAAAGTGAAGCACAGAAAGGCTAAATGCCTTGTTCAAGGTCACTCAGGAAGTAGAAGAGAACCTAAGTAAAGAATAAAAAGTGCTGATAATCACATAAGAAAGAACAGCCAATGTAAGCCTGAAGAGCAGTGAAAGGCATTTGAGTCATATTTTCCTCAGGTTGAGGATGTGAGGAAGCACATGGTGTGTTGGGGAGTTCAGGGAGGGCACGTGCCTAAAGAGGTGCCTGCTCCGTGCTGCCTGGTTACCCCTCAGCAGGTCAGAGGGAACCTGGAAGCCATGTAGTCAGAAACCGTGCTGGAATGTTGTGGAGGCTCTACATATGTGGTGCAAAAATATCTACACTTTTAAATGGTGTTGAATTATAGGATACAATTATGCAGAAATGTTTTGTTTCCCTTGAAAGCTAGAAAACAAGGGTCGGCTCTGGCTGCCTCTGTAAATAGGCTGCTGTTTTTCTTTCTTTTTGTAGTTGTAAAGAATCATTCATGCCAGCGTAGTTAATGAGCTTCCGCAGCTGTTAAATGAAATTACATATTCTGTTCATCTAGGGCCCTCTATGCTGCCATTGTCTCCTGGCCGTCTTGGTGTCTTCTAAGCACCGGGATACTTCTAAGTCACAATGGCCCAGCTTGTTCTCAGTCCAGGAGGTTGTACGGTCTGGGTCAGACAGGCCTTCAGAAAGAGAGGCTATTTTGGCAAAGGTAGCCATAATAGGATGTTATTTTTCCATATCACAGCTGCCCTCCTCAGCTAGGACTGTGAGGAATACTAGGGGGGAACTATTCACAATTTTCTAAAAAGGTTATTTTAAGCAAAATTATTATCCCTCAAATTATACACAGACACTAACTTTGAGTTTTCCAAGGAGGGCACTTCACCAACTCATAGACAGCTGTGGCTGAGGGGATCGACCCCGATTTGGCTCTTCTCGTCCTTCATGATGTTTCTTTTCACACCTGTCAGAATTGGAGCTTCCTGGTTATGGCTTTTAGTATAAGTTTGAAGATTTTCCAGTCTTCCAATCTATTGTTGCTCTAAATTCAGACTTTCACATCTAGTCTTCCTCACTGTCTCTCTGAGATAATCACATCTTCTTGTGCACTCCAGAAATTGCTAACTCCCCATGTGCCTCCAGGAAGTCACTCTTCATTCTGGCACCACCAGGATCCACTTTGGGGCTCTGATATGCAGCTGCTGACCTCTTCTGGGCTGTGTTCAGTGGGCATCTGCTGGTTATAGCCAGATGCTTTTTGGTAAAAAGGAAGTAACCTCACACTGGGACTAACTGCGCAAGTCTCTCTTTATTGCACAGGAGTTGTGAAACTGTGCTTCTTCATAAATGTCCCTCTTTCCAAACACCTAATTCTCTGTCCTCCTCCATTGAAACAATATTTGGATTTCTTTTCACAGATACTTCCACCATATATTTACTGCAGGGAAAAAATATTTGCTAGGTAGTATTTGACTATCTGTTGTATGAAAAACCAGGTCTATGGTTTCTGGGTTATTACCATAAATAGCTAATAAAGAGTTAATCCTGATGAAGTATTAGTTTAACCAGTGAATAAGCACAGAAAACAAAGACATATGTGTAGCTACGTATTCTTATACTTCCCATGTCTTTGCCTTCCCAGTGCCCATATGGACCTTCCATAGGTGCCCATTTGTTTTGCTCTTTCTAAATTTGAGCTATTTGCATAATAGGTGTTAATTAATCTAGTTGTGTTATTCTGATCATTAGTTACATCTATCTGCATTTGAAGCTATAGCAATATATACATGTTGTCATAATCTCTTCACCCTTGCATCTCTTAACTTTTGAAGAGGAAGTTAATTTCAGTGAAAAGTGATGAGGAAAATATCCTTGAACAGTAAAAACATTGCTTCATAAAAAGAGAAAACCATGAGAGTTTTCCATCGCTTGTTCTCTATTTCTATTACTAAGGGAATGTTAAAAATATAGTCTGGAGACTATTTTCTGTCCTATAACTGGAGCACAACTATCTGCTGACACACAGGCCACTTAGGAAATATTGCTGAATAACACATTTTCAAATAATCTGATGTCATCTCAGCCAAATTCATCTCTGAACTAACAGTCCTTTCTGGATTTCACAGATCTGCTCAGAGATCGGTAATAAATGGTAGATATTCAAGGACTGCTGCAGTGATAGTATTTATGCAGCTTGGCTAGAAGCAGTCCCTCTCTTAACATGGTGGGTAAGATGAAAACTAACCCTGGCATTGTACAGCACAGTAGGAACATTGGCCTGCTGACTTAAACAAATATGATTGCCAGAGTGAATTATTAAATTCCACTGGACTCACTTGCTAGAGAATTTCACTCCTTTTCCTCCCACACAGCTTCCTACTTTTTATTAGATGAACAGTATTCAGCTCTTGCAATTAATTGCTGTATTTTGTTAGTCATTACTACAGCAGTTTCCCTGTGTTTATATTTTTAAACTAGCACTTGGATGAGTCCCATTGAAGCAGAACAAATATGTGTGTGCATCTGTGCAAATATTTGTCTAAAATTACATTATTAAAAAGTCCCAGTGAACTTTCAGGCTAACCGCTGTGCTTTGTATCACTTCAGAGACAGTCACATCATCAGGCTACTGTTACTTTACTAAACATGGGTGACTTCATCCCAGCATTTCCTTTAGAGCACTATTTGGGAGACTCCCTTCCAATAGAGGAAGTGGGTTGATGAGGGCCAGTGTTCTCATTCCAGATCCTTCACATCTCTGAAAAGCTGCATCCTTTGTAGAAAATAGATCTGTGTGTGTGCCAAAGTGTAACCCTGATGTTCATCAGGGAGGGGAGGAGGTCACATATTCCTTGTCTGTTTCAGCAGCAATTCTCCCATTTGGCAGGAGCTCGAGAGGAAGTATTTAACAATGGGATTTTACAAAATTCAATGTAGTAAAGAATGTTTTTATATTTGAATGGATCTAAGGAAGTTTTATTTTTCTCCCCCCTGATAAGTGGAGGGTATTTAAGGGTAATGGTATCTGTGGATTTGTTGGAAGGATTTGGCTCTTTTATTGGACTTTGTGAAATAATTATTTTTCCATTTTATCATTTTCATGAAAGGTAATCCTCAGAAGAAAAAGCTGTAGTCTCTTAACTTCATACTGATCTTAAATATTTTCCTTAGGGGGAATTAGTGAGGAAGTAACAATCTCTCAGGAAGGTTTAAAGCTGTGCTTTTATTCAACAATCAGAGCTCTTTTAATGTCTCCAACCATGCCAGAAATGATAAAGTTATTTTCTTTCATACTCTTACCATAAGGCCCGATATTTTTAAAAGCCTGAAACACAAATAGCTTTATGTTTAAAATAGTGCAAAGTAGAGGAAAAGATGTTCTTGTCATCATCCCCTTTTTACTTCAACTACATGTGGTCTCTAAGGGAGCTGCTGAAGACACAAGTTTCCTAAGTCCAGCACACCTATCAGATAAGGTCCAATGAATGGTTGGTTAGCAGCTACAATAGAAAGTTTGAGGCCATCTGCTGAGGAACAAAGATCCCTTTCCTCTAAGGCCTGCTAGGTTTATAGGTCTAGGGCAGTGATCGGCAAACTCATTAGTCAACAGAGCCAAATATCAACAGTAAAACGATTGAAATTTCTTTTGAGAGCCAAATTTTTTAAACTTAAACTATATAGGTAGGTACATTGTTATTAACTTAATTAGGGTACTCCTAAGCGGGCCTTTGCTAAAAACGTCCTCAATCAGATTGAGGTACGTTCGCTGAGGTCGACCCCTTCCAACTCTCCCATCCACACTCGTCTTGTATACTTGTTTCGTCTATCTCCTTTCGTTCATCCTCTCTATATGTCCAAACCATCTCAACATACCTTTCTCAATCCTTGACATTACATCTTCTTTCACTCTACAACGTTCCCTAAAATTAACTTAATAAACTTTACTTAAAGTTTTAAGTCAACTTCACACTGTACATGAGTGCCCGCGCGTGGTATTTTGTGGAAGAGCCACACTCAAGGGGCCAAAGAGCCTCATGTGGCTCACGAGCCACGGTTTGCCGACCACTGGTCTAGGGTACAAGAATGGTTGAGGTCTTCATTAGCCAGTGGCTCGTGCCACCATAACATATAGCAGTAGTTACCCAAAAGTGTTTCAATGTCTGCTAAGAAAAAGGACAAAACAATAGCACCAATGTACTTTTCAATTTGTAATAGTCTGTTTAGACTTTGTTAATTCCTAGTCTTAAAAAAAGTAACTTTAAGAAGATTTACTTGATACAGAATCATAACATCATAAATTCTTCCTCTTGGCAGGGCCATTAAGTCACTTGGTACACATCTCTATCAAATGGCAACCCCACCAGTTGACCATTCGGACAATATTTGGATGTCTCCCGAATCAGGAACCTCATTACCAGCATCATATTTTGCACATATAAGTTAATCCATTCACTTTATAGATGTTTATTAAGCCCTTTCCACACAGAGATATGGCAAAGAACAATGCAGCCTCTTATTACAAGGAGTTAGCAATTTAACAGAAGATAAAAGCATGGAAACCAGTGATTACATGAGAGAACCTGTGGTAGGGTCCTATTGAGAGTTTCAGGAGAAGGGAGCATAGAGAGTAGATCTATTTCACTTAGATCTATTTCAGGCAACAATTAAATGCTGAGCATATTGAAGGAAAAATGGACCCAGACAAGTGGAGCAGATATATCAGAGAGACCAAGAGCCTGCTCAGGGAGAGTGACTAGTGGATCATGCTGCCTTAGTCAGTGTGAGAGGACAACCATGGACAGATTCACGTAATATGACATTTAAAAGTGGGCAGAGGAAGATGCCTGAAAAGGAGCTAGGAGAGGAGGAGGAAAATGAGGCTAGAGACATGAAGCTAATAGAGAATTCAAGAAGGGAGAACTCAACAATATCACCAGCTT